GCATGCTTCCAAAGTGATTCTTTTGTAAATCCCTTAACTCAACATGGTACAGTCTAACTCAGTGTCTCCCAACCCTGGTCCTCAAGGCACACTGTCCTACGAGTTTTAGAGGTTTCCCTGCTTTAACGTGCCTAATTCAACTGATTGCAGTTCAGCAAACGCCCGTTAGTCATCCATTGAAATCAGCTGGACTGAAGCAAGGAACTACCTAAAACATGCAGGGCAGTGAGCCTTGAGGACCAGGGTTGGGAAACACTGCTCTATGTGTTGTATATACAAGTGCACACAGATACACACAAAAACTTCTTTACACTTTAGTATGGGAAGGTTTAGTGGTAAGTTGTTAAACATTTCTCCAAAAATCAATGTAATAAAACAAAAAACAGAAAAATATGAATGATAGGACTTCATTGATCTGCAGCACCATTAAAAAAAATGTAACTTTAAAAACAAATGAGTGAAAAACATAATTAATATGCCACCAATTTAGGAGTGACAGACATGAAGAAGCTTCAAACATTAGCAAAACTGTTGACTGTTAGAGAAATGTTCACAGATTAATGAAATAACTCAGGCATACCTCGAGAGCTACAACCAAGATTTAAATTACTTTTAGAGGATGATTCTGAAAGGGTGTATTCAAATAAAATAAAAGATAAATTTCACTCAGAAAGTCTGGTAACAAAGTTACGTAAGTAACACTTGCTTTTAACTGGATATTTACATCCATCACTTTCAAACTTCTTTGTTCTCAAAATCTTGACGAAAAAGTAGAAAAATATTACCAATATACAAAATATTGGAAAGGCAGAACATTTATAAATACATTTATTTAGTATATACAGCAGGAGTCTCCTGTCACAGAGCTTGGGTTAGTAATATATAAAGACTTATCCCCATTTAAGGCCCACTGGTGTGGAAAGGTCCATAGTGGGGCAGAACCTCCACAAACACAATTAAATAATGCTTAAAGGCAGCTGGAGAGTTTGATTCAGGTTATTTATAAAGTGCCAATTCATCCCAAAAGCCAACGTTTTCAGAATCAAAGACTTAATCGTGTGCGGACATGAGGGAGAAATTAACTGGTTTTCAGGGTGGAGGGAGTTTTGTCAAATATGCACCGGTAAAGAGAGGAGCAGCTGTGCGACCAGAAACTATTCAGAATATATTCCCACATTAGTCAATAATTCCAAAAACTAAATCATGTCTGAATCAAGTCGCAGCCCTCGTGAACACTCATATGTCTCTTTAGATTTCCTTGCTGTGAAAACGCCTTACTGCAAACGCTACACACAAACGGTTTCTCTTTTGTGTGAACGCGCATGTGTCTATTCAGAGAGACCTGTTGTGAAAACGCTTTACTGCAAACACTGCAGACAAACGGCTTTTCCCCTGAGTGGCCTTTCATGTGATTCTCAAGATGACGCTTTTGATTAAACCTGCTTTTACAGACTTCGCAACCAAACGGCCTCTCCTCTGTGTGGAGCCTCAGGTGTCGCTTTAACTGTATTTCGTCCACAAAAAGTTTGTCGCAATCGCTACAGCTAAACGGTGCCGTGTGAACCATCGTATGCTTTCTCAGGTAGACTTGCCGTGAAAATCCTTTATCACAAACACTACAGATAAACGGTTTCTCTCCCGTGTGGACACGCATGTGCCCTTTTAGACTCTCTTTTCGTGAAAAGCCTTTGCTGCAAACACTACAAATAAACGGTTTCTCTCCTGTGTGAACATGCGTGTGACTCTTTAGTGTCTCTTGTAGTGAAAAGCGTTTGTTGCAAACGCCACAAACATATGGTCTATCTGTTGTGTGGATTCTCATGTGCTTTTTAAGACATTCCTTTATCTTAAATCTTGTGCCACAAATGTCACAGGAAAAGGGTTTTTCTTCCGAATGAACCACCAGGTGAGTTTTGAGAAACTTCTTTGCATGAAACCTCCTGTCGCAAACATTACACGCAAACGGCTTCTCTCCAGTGTGGAGTCTCATGTGCGTCTGAAGGAAACGCTTCTCTTTGAATCCTTTACCACAAAGATCACAGCTATGTTCTCTTATTCCAGTGTGAGTCATAATGTGTAATTTAACCGACGTTTTATGCTTGAAACTTTTGCCACAAAAAACACAGCCGAATGGCTTCTCGCCTGCGTGGACTTCAATCTGAGCCATAAGGCCAGAGCACAGTTTAGATCTTTTACCTCTTTTGTGAACAGTCATGTCACTTTGTTGAAAAGAACAAAATGGATCTGGGCTCCAGTCTGCGTCTGCTCCTCCGCAGTCATCTCCGTCAGGATCTGCTTCCAACAGATCAGCAGAGCTGCTGGTCGGACCTTCTGCCTCTCCGTCGACAAGAGGTTTGATTCCATCAAGTTCAAACATCAGAGATTTTTCTACATCTTCAATCTTCACAACACGTTGCTCTTCCTCCTGGCTGATCCACAGCTCCTCCTCTTCCTCCTTTATGTCAAGTGTCTCCGAGTCCTGTTGGTCAGAACTGGAGCTCCAGTCATGGACAAACTCTTCCTTTATCACCACCGTCTGGACTGGGAGCAAAGAAACACACACTGACAGTAACTGCCTGCAAACTATGAGGAAAAAGTATCTGCATTTATTAATAAAGGCAGGTTCGCTCAGATATGTTATGAACTATTTATCCAAAAGACAAATTTTCATCAGTGGTTCTGTTCTTGATCTAAATAGGCATCAAACATGTGGAATAAAATAATATTATTTTGACGGTGCAAAGAAGTGCTTCAAAATGTAAAAGATTTCTTCATCTTCAGATCAAACACATTTTAATATCAAACGAGAATAATCTCAGTAAAGATACAAATCTCTTTCCAAATGATGATAGAGACACATAAACCAACCTGTCCACCCTGAGTGAACGAATCACGAAATGACTGCGATTAATAACCACTTTGTTTGGAAAGCTGAGTTCAGCTTCTCTAACCACACCCAGGCCTGATTATTACCAGATCTGCAGAACCAAAACTCAAAAACCTGTTTGACGGCTCTATGTAGCCTAAAAAAATATATAAAAAAAAACAACACGTATCCAAATCTAAAATACCCGAGGAAAAATTGTTGATTATTTCTTATCAGTTTGGAATAAGGTAAAAAGCAATTTGTAAGGTTTTGGGACTCCAGTGAACCACAGTGAAAGCCGTTATCCAAGAATGGAGAAAATATGCGACAGCAGTTCCCAGGAGCGGCTGGGCTACCGTAATCGCTTCTGGAGCGCAGAGATGACTCATCCGAGAGGCCAGAAAAAAACCCCAGGAAAAACATCTAAAGCATGTCAGGCCTCAAATGTTTGAACTAAGGTCAAAGGATGTGAGTTAATAAAAGAAAAAAAAAAATCCAATGGAGAGTGCCAGAGTAAAAACCAGTGCCAGAGGAACAACTGGCACTACAGAGGAGAAAAAAAAGAAAAGAAAAAACAGCAGACAGCTTATCCAAAATCTGACAAAAATTATCTTGATCTCTAGTCAACATTTTACTGACGAGCTAAATGCTGTAAAGAAATGCTCGCCACTTACAGTCATACATTTTCTGGTTTTGCTTTGGGTCTGTAAACAAATTTAGCATCAGACAGATGTGTATTATCAGATAATATGTGTACAAAAAGCATTTTACAATTGATGGTTTCTTTTCTTCTTTTCTCTTTTTTCTTTGGAAGTGAAAATAGGCAATAAAACCAATCTGGCTGAAAGTCAAAATATAGTTGTCCTCAAGATCTAATAACTGGCTGTGCCACACTTAGCAACTGGCAACAAGAATTTGTGATAATCTGTAAGAGCTCTATTAGTTTTAAAATTTCCCCTTTTGTCTCAGTTCAAAGAATATTTTCCCAAAAGGCTTGGGAATCTTAAAAATACATATTGTTTGTCCACTGTGAGACCAGCCATTATCTCGTTTTTGGTGAAGTGGATCTCTTGGGACTCTGTTATGGATTTACCCACTGTCTTTCTTAATGACGACTCATGATCTCCGATTTTAATTGAGGTAAGACAGGCCTACAGTGTTATAAATGCTGTTCTGGGTTTTTTGTGTGGTACTGGATGAGTAATCATGTGGTCTTGAAGTAATTATGTTTGGCCGGTCTCTCAAGGGAAGCTTAACCACTTTTCCATGTTTTGTCTCCGGTTCCCCGGAGTCCCAAAATCTTAGAAATGGATTTTTAAGCCATTCCAGACTCAAAGATGTCAGTGACTTTGTGTCTTATCCGCTTATGAATTTCTTCAGACTGGGACATAATGCATCATGCTACATGTTGCCAGGCAGGCCCTGTGCAAGAGATTTCTCTTCCTACAAATCTGGCCTGTGTGTGTTTCCTGTGTGTGTTTCCTGAAACACACACAGGAAACAGCTGTGCTGTGTGTGTTTCCTGAAACACACACAGCACAGCGCTTCAAACAACGAGCACAGCGCTTCAAACAACGAGGTTAATCACAGATAATTCATGATATAACAAGGGGAACACTTAGTTTTTCCACGTAGGCCCAAAACAGTTTGGAAAGTAGTTTTTTTTTTTTTTTTTTTTTTTTTTTTTTTTAAAAAATGGAGTTTTTAAAAAATTTAATTTCTTTTTGTCTATAAATACTTTAG